CTGGAGTGCGCGACCGACTGCGCCGATGACGGCCCCTGGGGAGCAAGTGCATCGGGGGGGCAAGCAGGCCCTCGGACTTCTGTGCGCGCATTGAGATTGACAGGGGAGGTGAGGTACCACGGCAGGAGGGACATTCGAGCCACGGCTGCTGCGCGTCTGCCAATCCCACGTGATCTAAACGCTCCTGGGGAGAGACCTCCAACCTGTCACGTCCCATGTGCGACGCCAGATCGGAGATCTGACTCTGTATCCCCAGCGGCCGCCAGCGCCGCCATGTATGTTTGTCGTCAACGTCGCCGTGCTCTTCGCCACTCCCAATTATTTTCCTTTTGGACCTACAGCTGTGAGAGCTTCCTCCGCGCGGGTTGGCTGGCAGAGATTTTGAGGCGCGCACGCGATAGGAAGGTTGCGGTTGTCAATTTTCAAAGTGCCGTCATGAAGTTTGGTATCCCATGGGCCATTGAGGGCTATCGTACTATCCGGACCCCGCGCACGACCAGAACAATCCGAGATGGCCGCTCCATTGTTTGTGATCGCGTGCTCTTTGCCTTTTTCAGAACATCGTCTTCGTCATGGTTGCATGGGTGGAAGACTTCACGGAATACGCCTCATACGTAAAGGCCCACGAGAGCGATATGTATTCAATTTGAGTGAATATGCGCCACTCAGTGAAGTTAGTCGCGCTAGGGTCGGGGAAGACCATCACTTCACGAGCGCGACACATCGCGAGTTCCAGAACCAGTTTGCGGATACGTGTAGAGCAGCCTTGGAGCAACCAACCCCAGCGAGTCACCCTTGTGATGACGATGGATGCGGTGCTGCCATGTCCCCTCACCTCCCATACGTGGGCAACGTTGACCAACGTTGCCAGTGCGCCGCCCCGGCTATGAATGGAACTCGCCGTTTTGCTTGCTCCTGACATTCCATTTGTGTTCCTCAACACGTCTGGCTAAACCTTAAAACAACAGGCAAAACGACGCATGGAATTTCGATGCCCGCAAAGGATGGGGAACTATTGACTACAGATGCGTGAGTGTGAGCGCCCCCCCACGGCATCGATGTTGCCCTTCTCCGTGACCTTCCCGTCAGTCTCGGTGGCCATGGAGATCGCCGCTTTGTGAAGGCGCATATCTATGCTGGTAGACGGGCCACGCGTGTTCCAGACCCGAAGCCGCACCGATGGGACCGCGACGCCCTCGCCAAGGACCTTTGTCTACTGCGAGACGAGTGCGGGGGCGTCCCGAGCCGCGCCGAGACCAAGCGCACACATCTTGACGACCTCATGCAGTAGCGTAGGCTCGCAGACCCGTGGAACGCCATCTGCAGAGAGGGCCTGCTGTGTTCCGCGCCGTCAGATTATTTCAACGTGCTGGAACGCGTGCGGACGGTTGCAGCGGCGCCGCAGTATGTTCTCCAGCCGAAGAAGATCACTGGGCACAGGCTGACAGACTAGACTTTCGAACATATCGAATACAAGCACCACCTCCAGAAGCGCCTGGCATACCGCGCGGGCCAGACCACCCACGCCTTCGGCCACTTCCAGAAACTGCGCGACGACTCGGCCAGAGCAGCAGCCAAGGCCGCGCGAGTTGACCTCCGCCATCGGCTCGCTGAGACGGCGCGGGAGGCAGAGGCAGCATATGCCAACATGAAGCTCCGCAAGCTGCATGCCGTGGTCCGATTTTGGCCCCCGAACCGGTGGCCCTTGTCGTCGCGTTCACCAGTCCAGTCACAGGCCGCGTGTGCATGGGCGCGGAGGAGGTGGAGGTCGAGGTCCGAGCCAACGCACTGAGCGCCATCTTCGACGGCGCGATCATCGACAGGGCCAGCGCGGGTGGACCGCCCGGCCTCCTTCCCGGGGGCGACGCGCGCATCGGCACCTACAGCGTCGATGGCGCCTCGAGGGCCACCTGCAGGATGCCGACGTGCAGGGGCGACCCCGTCCTCAAGATGACCCCGCCCGACGCCGAGAACGCGCGTCCTGGTGTGTCAGCTTCGACGCCGCCCGCGTTCTGCCCGCGCCCTGACGTGTCAGATTCGGCGTCGCGTCGGCGTCGGCTTCCCCGCCCGCGTTCTGAGTCGGCGTCGCCGCCCACGTTCTGCCGGGGTCACATTATCACGCCATGCGATGAATCGGGCATTGGACGATGGAAACTACGCCGTGGCGATGCTGCTCCAGTGCTCTATTAGGTATTTCAAGCTTGCCAAGCCCTCGGACACTCAGCCTGGCGATATAAAGATGGCGAGACTGTGTCTCTCTGGGGGCCGAAGGGAGACGGCAAGTGCGCTGCCGAACTATGAACGGGATATACCTTATCGGCAAGGTGTTCATGAATGTACCGGTGATGCTCGAACTCGTAAACGTCGCGTTAAAGTATCGCAGTTCGGGGCCTTGGCAGGTCGCTCCGCGCGAGATGCGCTTGCGGCGGTTGCCGCGGTCATTCGACGACGCCGCCGTGCAGCCGCGCGTCCAAGATCGGTTCTGGCACAATCCCTGGGGTGCCATTGGCAGCGCCCATTGACCTTGGGAAGGCCTTCGACCTGATCGATCGAGATGCGGCGCGGGATGCCTGCGAGAAGTTGGCCGCGAAACGACGCGCGCGACTCGCGCTGGAAGAGCCGCGCGAGGGCGCGCGCTACATCGCCCGAGACAGTATTAGAACCAATCGGCCCATCAAGAGTTCTCTCGTGCCGAAGGATGTCATGCGTGGGGGGGTGGGGGGCCCGTTCCTTCATGCTCGTTGTTGTGTGCGGCCTGCTCGCGTCCGAGCTCGAGCGCAGCCGCTTCGCTTCTGAATTTCTCGAAGTGCGCGTCGCTCCCGGCCCGGGATTGAGAAGTATTCGACATCCGCGCGATCTTTCGGGCGCGGGGGGGGAGGGGGGGATCGCCGCGTCGCCTATGAAGTCCGCCGATGACCACGCCGCCATTGCGATCGTCGAAAACTTTGATTCAGCCTCTAGGTTCCCCGCCTACCTGACGAACGAAGTCTCGACGGGGGAAGATTGGGGCGAAAGACGCGAAAGCCGAGACGCGGGCCGTCGCGACGGGTAAAAGGAGCCAGCGGCGCAAAGCCACGATGCGAGTCGAGCAGACCGACGCCGCAATGCGCACCACCCCCGCGCATGCCACTCCTGACCCAAAGCATCTCGGAGCTGAGCAGCGGTGTGATGGCACGATGGTGGAGGAGGTGGCCCACGGGATCCAGGGTGGAAGCGCAGCGCGCGCCCGTCTCGCTTGTCAAGCCCTTGGAGGTCATTTTAGTGTTCGGCTGCGAAGTCGATTGCGATGCCCACTTGTCCGCTCGACCCCCTCTACGGCCTCGGGGTCTGATGGGTAAGCGTGATTTCCATCGGCTTGGGCGCTGGCAGGCTCGAAAGTTCCGTTCTCTTGCGCGCGCTCCTGCCCGTGTCGGCCATGTCGGCAATGTCGAAGTCGGGGGGCTCGCGCGCGTCGCGACGGTGGCCTCTACGTTGCTCGAGCGTCGCGTCACCTGGCGGCCAGGATTTATCAGGCCCGCTGTCCCCGACCTCGCGAAAAGAACACCCCGGGGCCCCTGGCGGCCCGCGCAGGGCCCAGACGTGTTCGGGGGCCCAGACGACCAGCCCCTGAACCGAAAGTACGACCCCGCGCCTGGTCCAGGCCGCGGTGTTTGGCCGCTTCAGCTTCGAGGGGCCCCGCCATGGAGAAACCGATTCTCCGCTGGGGCTCCTTCGAGAAGGCTTGAAATAGCTTTGGGGAACGATGCCCCCCGAGGCCCGACAGGGGGTCCGCGGCGCCCACGACCTCGGCGACCCTGATCCCACCCCGAACCCCTTGTGCCCATTTCCAGCGCGCGCGGAGATGCGTGGCGGAGGGCGAAGCGAAGATGGCTGCCGGGTAGGCCCCCGCCCCTGACCTGATGATCACTGCAGTGCCCTCGCATGCGCCAAGGGCCCAAACGCCCCGCTAATCATAGTTTTCGGTTCGCTAGAAGTACGCCAATCCCGCGAAACTCATGGGTGACCGGCTGAGATCCATGAAGTGCCCGGGATGCTTCAACGCGCTCAGCCGAAAGGATACGCTTGTTCGCCACATGCAGCGAAACAGATGCTGTGCTTGGAGGGTGAAAGTGGGGGTCGGGCGCAGGGTCCCGGCAATGATGTCTTTATGGGCCATGAGTGGGCGATGCATCCTCGATTGCTGTGTTCGGCGGGGGAACCAATTCAAGCCCCCCGCCTGCGCCCATGTGCGAGACTTGGGGGGGAAGGAAGCAACGGGGCAGGGGGCTCGGGAAAGGCGACGAAGGCAATGTGCGCTGAGGGCGCAAAGAGACATGGTTGGAACAAACGAAAGCGGTCAGGTGAGTGTCGGACTCTGCCCAGCCAATCTGACATGCGGAACACTGCGCCTCACTTTTGGGGATTTGGAAGGCTAGGGCAAATTATGAATTCACATTGTGGGGAAAAGCATAATGTGAATTCACATTTTGGGGACAAGGAAAATGTGAATTCACATGATGGGAAAAAGGGAAATGTGAATTGACATTTTGGATTTTTGCGTAGGATTCTTCATGAAGGGGCCAGAATGTGAATTCACATTTTGGGAAAAAGGAACATGTGAATGCACATGTTGGGAAAAAGGGAAACTGTGAATTCACATTTTGGGAGAAACGCGGGGCCCATTCCAAATCTGTCTGGGGGTCGAGAAGTCGTCGTTTGGGAACATACGAGATCATCAATCGCACAATCAAGACACACTTGCACCCCACTTCGCCGCCCCACGCGCAATATGCAAGAACGCCCGCACGCATGAACGATAATGGATGGACGGCGCGTGCGCCCGCGCGGGCAACGCACGGGCACGAACGACTGGCCCTCAATGGCCGCCAGCATTGGATGTCAATCTTACCCGATCACATATATGAGCGATACACTGAGCATACATGGGCCATGCAGCCCCCGTTGTAGACCCCCTGTTGTGGCCCCTCCACTGTGCCCCTCCGCCGCCCGTGGCTCAAGACCCCGCGGGTGCCGCGCCTGGCCCGCCTGGCCCTTCGTTTCCGCCGCCTCCGCGTTCGGGCCATGTTCGCCCCGCTCGCCGGGGTCCCGAAAGGACTCAAACGCGGGGCGGAGGGCGTCCCAGAGGCCGGAGCCAACGACGACAAGGACGCGCCAGCCTCCAGCGGCGAGCTCCAGTGCCTGATGCGCCGCCTGCTGCTCCAGCGCGAAGCCGCCCGCCTGTCGGCAGCACGAGACGACGACGTGGCGCTGGCGCTGAGAGAAGACCAGACGATCGAGGTAGCCCTGGAGACGGGGCCCCAGGAGTGCGTCAAGACGGGCAAGGCCGGCCGCGAGGGTGACGACTTCAAGGGCCACCCCGTGGGCAGGATGCCAAACGCGCTTTTGAAGATGACCATCTTTCGGATCGCCGAAGTTACCGCGAACGGCCGCGAGAAGCTGATGAAAACCATGGAACAAGGGCCCTACCCCATAGAAACTGCAGAAGCCGTGGGTGTGCTGGAGAAGTAGGGGGACTACGTTCTACGTAAACCCAGGCGTTGTGGTGAAGGCCGCCCGTTGCTTCGAGATCAAGCGCAACAGCGAGGGCGAGGGTCGGGCGCGCTGAAGCTGGGCCTGCAAGCGCCGCGCCCACTTGGGGAGTGCGCTGACGGTGCTGCGCCTGGACGGAGGCGTGGCGAAGTCGGCGCGTGTCCAGCTCGGCCACGGTCGTGGCCCTAGGTCGAAGGTCGCCAAACAGATCGAGCAGCTCGCGCTCAAGGAAAAGACCACGGTCGGCAAGACGGATGGCCAGCAGAAGAAGCCGAGGAAACGCTAGACCCTGGAGTTCCCAGGCCATGCGCCGCCAACCACAGGTCCGCCCGAGCGTGCATCGTCACCCACTTCGCTTGATATTCTGACGCGTCAGAGGACCACCTACTAGAGTATTACGTGACACTAACCGCATGAATAGCGATCCGTACTTTTTGCAGTCCCTCTTCGTTGTGCTGTGCCTGTGTTTCCACCTCTCTCTCGGTGCCGAGATTCAGTAGCACTCCTTTGATGTGGGGCCCGTGGCTGGCCCCACTGCGGCGTGCGAAGTCGGGGGGAGGGCCGTGCTCGACAATGCGGTCGGGGGTGCGCCTGTGGCTCCGCCTCCGCCGCTGCCGTTCCGCGTCGCCTCCTTTCGCCTCCACTCTTAAGTCGGGCCCGTCATTCTACATGAGGAATATTCAAAAATAATTAAAAAATGGTCTGGGGACTATGTTTTGCATCTATATTTTGACAATTTTGGAGCATTTTTGGGGCATCTTTTTTGTTTTTCGTTGGCAATCCCCCTGTAGGGGGACACGCCCGACTTGACTCCTCTCCCTCCTCGGTCTCGCACCCTGGAGTCTTCGAGCTTGGGGGGGGTGCGGCCCCTTTTGGCCCCAGATGGGGGGGGGGGGGGGGGGGGGCGAGGGCCGCGCTCGAAGTGTGCCGGCTCCGCAGAGGCGGCGGCGCGCGAGCGCTGGGTCCTGGCTGCCCTGGTCTCACTGCGCTCCCCCCGTCGAGGGCCCACCCCGCGATGTGAAAACAGAAAACCAGATCGTGCGCCGATGTCGGTCGGTTTCGCTATGGCCCCCCCCGCACGAGGCGTCGGATCGAGAGTGCCCCCAAGAGGTGGCCGAATGTTTTGGTCCAGGGTGTCCAGAATCGACAACTGGATTGTGAGCTGTCAGATCCAAATCTATTTTGAGCACCATCCTAGTTGAAGGGCCGAGCGGCGATTACCCTGCCCTCATTTTCAGGGGGCGTGCTGGACCCCAGTCTATCTTCGACCGTTTCCCGCTTCAGGTTTCTATCTGCTTCTCTCTTTACCAATGGGAACGCGTAGAAGTAACCTTCCTCTTGGGTGGCCTCTGGCGCGGGCCCACTGGGACCCCCCGATCGTTGAGAGCGATGCGGGCTCACTCGTTTCCCAGGGGTCGCTATTGCTGTGCCACCGCTCTCTTCTGCCGACCGCCCGGTTGATTACAATTCGTGCGCGACCGCGCGCGCCGCGACACGCAAAGTTATTGGGTTTCGTGGTGCCGCCGTCGCCGAGTGCCCTGTCTGGGCCTCTGCCGAGCCGAGCCCCGAGCTGGCGCGGCCAAGTGTCTTGCAGGGCACAGCTCTCGTCAGGAGGGGCGGGAACGAGGGGCGGGCAGGACGCGCCGCTCTGAGTTCGTGTCGGCTGCCATTCAAGCGAAGCCCAGCGGCAGAGGTAAGAGGAGGACATCGGGGACTGGTGGAACCGTCAATCTGCCAAGTCGATTCGCGAGTTGCCCATTCAAATGCGGTTCTCGAGCAGATTTTTCGCGGCCGCGCGTTTTGCGGGCATCCTCTCGCAGGGTCTCGTTCGTCTTGGGCCGATTTCGCAGGGACGGGTTCTTTGCTTCAAGGGCGCCCTCGAGGGCGCGAAGTTATTCGCGCTTCGTGCTTCGGCTCCGATTCCTCCTCGTCCTCCTCTTCTCCCCTGGGAGGCGGCGCGAGAGCGCGAAGCTGTTCGCACTTCACGCTTCGCGCAGCGCGAAGCGCGAAGTTGGGAGCCCTTGTGGCTTTCAGGGGCCCTGCCTGCCCCCGGAGAGAGCCCCACAGGACGACGGAGAAAAAAGCTCGAGGCCAGCGCGCGCTTCACGCGCCAGGCGGCCTGGGGCCGCGCGCTGCGAGGGCGTGGTGCGCGTCGCCCGGGAGCTGCGTCGAGGCGGACTGGGGCTGTAGCGCCCCGGGCAGCGTGCAGCCCCCGCGGGTGTGCAGAGCTCGTTGGGGGGGCCTGGACAAGGTTAGCAGTGAGGCTGCCGCTTTCGAATGTGCGTCAGGCAGCGTGCGGCCCAGCTGGCGTCTTGGCTTCCCTCGAGCGTTCGTGCGCCTCTGCAAGGCTGCACGCCTCGCACTGGTACCGTCGGCCCAGATTGGGAGGTCGACCCTGCCAAATCAAGGGCACCCTCGTGTCCTGTGTCTCGCGACCCGTGCTTTCTACATTCCTGCGGCAATGTGGGCCTCGGAAGGGTCCTTTGTCCTCTCGCGCGTCCTGTCCAATCGAGTCCGACTGTGCCCCCTCTCCTGCGCAATCGCGCCTTCGCTCGCGGCATCGCGCGTGCGGGCCTCGTGCGCGAGAGGCAGGCCCGGGCGCATGACGCCACGCATCGGGTGTCTTCCATCCTGCCCTTGAGTCCCGCCTGCCACCTCCTCCTCCTCCTCCTCCTCCTCCTCCTCCTCCTCCTCCTCCTCCTCCTCAGTGCCGAACCCTTGCGTCTTCTGCCCCGTCCACTCGTAATACCTCCTCTCTGCTCGCCTCGTCTCCCCTGCCCTCCCCTCGTTGCTCGTGGCCCCTGTCGGCCCTTGCACCGCCGCTTGTGGATCGCGTCGCATGAGGCGGTGGCTTCACTGCTGGCCCTCCCGTTCCTCTCCTCCAGCGGGCCTCCTCCCACTTTCAGGACGTACTCCCCATCGAGGACACGAAGCCCATGGAGAGGCAGAGGGGTGGGGAGGGGAGCAAGGGGAGCCCTGCCCCTCAGCGCGGACGCCCAGGGTGTCCAGAAACCTCGATCCTCGATCACCTCATCGTCCTTCTCCGCCTCCTCCTCCCCGTTCGTTTTTCGCCATTAAGGCAACAAGGGCACAAGTTTTACTCGTTTTTGGCTTCTTGGGGCCGTTCTCAGTTTCTGGGACCGTCACATTACCCAGGACGAAGAGCTGGTCCCAGGCGAACGCCCCAGGTTTCAGGACCGACTTCCCTCAGCACCCGTTTTCCCCTGTCAGTTCCGAAAGTGTGGCGCTGGGAGCCTCCCTCCTCTTCGTCCTTGCTCGGTGGTCCCAGCGGTCTTGGAGCAGGAGGAGAAGTATTGTGCCCTATGGAAGGGAGCACCCTGTGGTCAGGAACTTGTGTTCAGCCTGTCGCGCCGCCGGTTCTGGTCCTGCCGCGCTTCGGCGCGACGCACTGGTCGACGACTGCAGTCACGCCCCAGTCCCCGAGCCTCAGCCGTCCGAGCCTTTCCCAGCCTGGTGCCCCGTGGAGCGGCGCGACGCGCTGTCCGCTTGCAGGGCATCGCGTGTCGCAGGGGCCGCCGCCATCGGGAGCTGTGAGACGGGGTCCATATGCAAACCGGGGTCAGCCGGGGCGATAGATCTTGCAGGATCCTGCAGGGCAAATGGGTGCATTGACCTGGGCCTGCGCGTAGCATCCTGCAAAGCTTCAGTGGCCTGGGCTTGCACCAAACCGGGTCAGTGCGTCCCCGAGGCCAGAGGCTTGGTCGAAGCCATTTTTCGATTCACCGATCAGAAATCATTAATACCGCGCCATTTTTTGGTGGATTCCCGATTGAGCCCAAGAAAGTCAAGAATCTGGACTGGTCCCTCGGCGTTTTTTTGAAGTTTCTCTCTTTGCAATAGCTTCGTAAATGTGGACCTGGGTTACTTGTTCAGAAAGCGCCTGGAGTGAGGTACATTCTCTTAGCGCAAAGGTTTCCTAACTGAGCAGGGGTGTAGTCGGCTCTCTCTGATTGACATATGAGCGACGCAAAAAGAAGCGGGATCGTTTTCGCCGACACTCGCTCGCAAGCTGCCCGCAGAAGGTAGCGCGTAAGCGTCCTCGTTTCCAATAGGGGTCTGCCGCGCGGGTGGCCCTGGCCAGCTGCGGCGTAAGGCCGTTGGGCCATCTCGCGTGCGACGCTCTTCTTTCCTGTCGCCCATGGGGTGCCCCCCCCCCCCCCCCCTTCGTCTCTTCGTGACACATGGGGCAGGCGCGGGGAGGAGGAGGAGGAGGAGGAGGAGGAGGAGGAGGAGGAGGAGGAGGAGGAGGAGGAGGAGGAGGAGGAGGAGGAGGAGGAGGAGGATGAACAGGAGCAGGAGCAGGAGCAGGAGCAGGAGGAGGAGGAGGAGGAGGAGGAGGAGGAGGAGGAGGAGGAGGAGGAGGAGAGGCGCCGCCAGTGGCCAGGGCGGCGCCGCGCGCCGCGGGGGCCGCGCAGGCTCGCCATCATCGACTCGGGCGCCGCGCAGCACGGGTCGGCGGCGCCGCCCGGCGCCGACCCGCTCGCCCAGCACATCCAGGCGCTCGCGTACTACGAGGCGACCTGCCGCCCCTCGACCAGGCGTGAGAGTGAGCTTACGCCGGAGTGACCTTTTGGTGCGGGCCCCATGGGGCCCCCCGATCGCTGAGCGCGATGCGACAGTGGCTGCTGGCGCGCTTGGATTTGCCAGCTTGCGCTCTTTGAGTCCGCGCTCGAAAGGTGACTCCTTGCCTGGGGTCACTCTTGCGTGCAGCTGACGCCTCTCCTCTCGCAGTCGGCGACTTTCCTCCCCAAACCCCGACTCTCTGACGAGAAACGAAGCCGCTCGACCAACGACTCAGGATGAGAAGCCCGTCCCCTGTCTAGGGACCCCGTATTGAAGAATCAAGACATCGGATGGCCGCCTCCTCTTCCTCAGTGCTTCGTTCCCGTCTCTTCTAGATTCGGCGTCAAGGCCAGGGGGGAAGTGAGAGGGGGCAGGCCTTCTTATATGGCGGCGGTGCTTCTCAGTAGCCCTCGCGCCTTCTGAGGAGCCGTCTGTGGCTGCGCAGAAGGCTTGCAACGCTTCTCGGAAGGCGCGAGGGTTTCCTGAGAAGCCCCGCCGCCTTCTGAGAAGGCCTGCCCCCTGTCACTTGCCCCCTGGCCTGGCCACCGATGGATATCGCAACGGAGGAGAGAGGCCATGAGGGAAATGGGCCCTAGATGTGTGCTGCTGGTTTCAGACTCTCGGGCTCCTTCCTGGGCCCCAGGACCATCGAACACCGATGCGGGGTGAAGCTCCGCCGCGGGGGGCAAGTGCCGACGTCCGGGGCCCCCCCCTCCACCAGGCGAGTGTGGTGGACACATGCCCGCCGCCTGGGGGAGCCCATCTTCCTGGACCTCGGGAGGCGAAGGATACTGGATGCGTGCGGGCCCCAGAGGCCCAAATCCCGCACTGCTGCGCCACACCTCAAGGCTTCGCCGGTCATGTCGGCCCGGCGCCCTGCCGGGGCCTCCCCTGCCGCCCACGGGGGACCCGAGAGAGCGGTCCCCCCGGGCAGGGCGCAGGCGGAGAGCCCAGCCTCGCATCCTCGTCCGCACCACCAGGCGTGCGGCGTGTGGGTGCGGCTGGCCGGGGCGCTGCGCCCGAGACCTCTTCGCCGATTGCCACCGAAGACGCCTGCGCCGAGCCATCGCCGCCCAGACGCCTGTGTGGCCAAACGCTGGGCCGCAGTCTTGCCAAGCTGTCGGGCGATGTGTGTTCCCCGGCCGCTGTGGAAACCCTTGGGGGAACACTGGGGGGGGGGGGAGAGCGAGGAGGAGGAGGAGATGGACGAGACGGGGGAGGGGGGGGGGGAGGGACAGGGGGAGGAGCAGAAGGAGGATGCCTCTTGGGGGCCTCTTGGGGCCTCTTGGGGCCTCCTTGGGGGGGGGGATTTCTGGGGGCCTCTTGGGGGCCTCTGCGGGCTTCTTGCGGGCCTTCTGGTGCCGCCTCTTGGGCGCCTCTTAGCGGGCTTGGGTGCCTCTGAGGGGCCTTTTTGGCTCTCGGAGGCCGTCTTGGGGGCCTCTCTGGGCCTTCTTGGGGCCCACTCTGAACAGTTCCTGGCCGTCTTGGAAGTATACTGGGCCGTCTTGGGGGCCGCTGCAGACAGCGGGGTCGGCGCACGCTTGCCGACGGAGTGAGGGCCCAATTCCACAGGAGCGTCATGTGACGAGTGGTTGGAATAGGGCCAAAGGTGTACCTTGCAAGTCTTGGTCAGCACTCTTGTTCTACATGTTTTCCGAGCCCTGTTAGCCCTAGCCCAGCTAGACGATGCAGCCTGCGGAAGCAGTTGGGACCAGACCGCCTTTCAAGATATGTGTGTGTGTGTGCTTTTGAGTAGCGGACGTGCAGGTTACACACTGCCTCTCGCTTTGCCCGCCAAGCATGGGAAGTCGCGTGATCGTTCGACCTTCAGTTTTCGTGTGTTGTGAACTGTAGTGCTAATCGGGATTCCGATACGGGGCAGCGATTAATGCATCAATAGCGCGACAGATCTGATTGTGACGAGTGTGCAGCATCATTGCAGTACCGAGTCTGTTGCGCGAACGAGCGACAGCATGTTTCGCACTCTGCACTCCGGATTTCCAGCCTTCCGTCATTCATCCATCAACCTCGCCACCATCCCAGGAGGGTGTCCCAAGTCTCAAAGTGGCAACTGACGTGCTGGCTATTTTTCCCTTTCCCCCTCTTGCCCCTTCGCCTCTTTCCCCCGTCCTCCCACGTCCCCCCTTCGCCACCTCCCCTCGATTCCCATCCGCTCCCCCTTCCCCAATTCCGTCCCATCCCAGACTCCTGCACCTTCTGCACCAGCTGCCTACCAGCTCCCATCCGACCAGAGGCGTACTACCAGTCCCTCGGCTACCCGCCAGGCAGCGGCATCAAGGGGGGAGGAGGAGGAGGAGGAGGAGGAGGAGGAGGAGGAGGAGGAGGAGGAGGAAGAAGAAGGGAAGTGAGACGTGGACGAGGAGGATAATAGCAGGGAAGCAAACATATTGTGACCAGGAGGAGGAGGAAGATAACGAGCGGGGTGAGAAGGAGAACGGAGGTAGGAGGGTGCAGGCAGAGAGGTTGGAGCATGAGCAGGGGAGGAGGGTGAGGCTGAAGAGGGGAAGACCGCGGCGGGTGCGACAGGTGCGCCCAGTGCGCCAGGTGAGCCAGGTGCGCTCTTTTTTTTCGCGTTGAGTGTGTGTGTGTGTGCTTCAGAACATATTCGCGCCCACTCCGTGCCAACATGTTATGCAGCAGGCGGAACGCAATGTTCAGCCCGCCCAGCGATGGGGGGATGTGAAGCCCAGATGCTGCGCTGCGCGCGTGCATCAGAGTCGTGCCCTCTCCAAGGCCATCGCAAAAGGTTGCTGAACACGAGAGGCGCCGTGCTCACACTGTGTTGCTCTTTGTCCGAGTATGGGGCGCGTCTTGTCCAGCGTGTGCGCCTCCATGTGTTGATTGTATGCCTGGCAGGGGCGGTGTGTGTGTGCGTATGTGGCGACTTAGCTGCGAACGTGGCCTGACCTTGCTGCTGCACGGAGCGTGCACTCCGCCACCGCGTCGGAGGAGCACGTGCGCGCGCGTGGGGGAGAGGGGGGGGTAACATTGGCACACTTGTCGGCGGCCCCGCGAGCGAGGGAGGGGTCCCTGCTAATGAGGAGCAGGGATGGAGGGCGGATTGCCCATCGGATGGCGGACGTGGCTTGCCCGTCCGCTCAGGAGGGCGCGCTGCTCATCGGACGGCATCCTAAAGAGCACTGGCAGAGGTCCCACGCTGATTGGGAGTAGGGGCGGAAGGGCGGACGGGGCGGGGCAGCACGGGCGAGCTCTCGCAGTTCTGGGCGATCTTGGTTGCAGTCAGGAGGGGTGAAGCTTCAGGTTTCCCAATGCGCGGCGCGTCTTGCACAGTGTGAGTCCGCCACCTCGGCTCGATTCACTCCGGCTCCCCTCCTGGCTCTCCTCTTTCCGAGTTCCTCGACCGCTGGGGCGCTCGGGCATATTTCGCAGAGCACAAGAGATCCTGCTTTGTGTACTCCTCCTCGGCCTCGCCCCTGCTCCGACTCCTCGTCCTTCTTTCCCTTCAGGTGCTCCCGCTCCACCCGGTAGGATTCCGCTCATGGGCCCCACGCCGCAGGTAGCCGCCTATAGCCCTCGCGCAGAAGATCGCTGGAGGCCGCAGGGAACGGCGAGAGATCGCCGAAGGCAACGGACCATCGCCGAAGACCACCAACGACCGCCGAAGACCGCCGCAGGCCAGTGGGTCGCGAGGAATCCACGGTCGAACACGTAGCGTAGCAGGAGGCTGGGCACGCACGACGCGGCCCAGCCGGGCGTGAGTTGGATGCACATGTGGTCCCACGCCCTTCCAGCGCTCAGCCCTCCTGTTTTGCAGGGCCCGCCGGCCCGCCGCAGGCCTCTCCGGCGCGTGGCCTCCGGAGGTTCCGCACGCGGGTCCAGCCGCGCGCCCAGACCGCCGATGGCTCGATAGTTCCGTGCCGTGGCGCCCCAGACCTCTCGCCCGTTTCCCTGGGGGCCCCCAGCTCCACTGCGACTGCCTCGTGGGCGGTCATTCGTCTCCGTCCGTTCGCTCGAAGGCGTTCGTCCTCGTCGCCCTGGCCGCCCTCTGGCCGTGGCCCCCTGCCTCACGGGTCCGTGGCCACGCCCACTGGCCCCCTGCCCCCGCCACCTCAGGCCTGCCGTGCAGTGCCCCCGGCCCTCTATGAGCTCGCACTGCTGTGCTCGAGAGCTCGGAGCACCTTTTCTTGGTGGTCGTCGCTCGTTCCCCTTCCTCTGGCCTGCCCCTGGCCCTCGCCCCAGCTCCCCTCGCCACCTGGCCCGGGAGCCATGGATGTTCGCGGTGGACGTCGCTGGTCCCCCCTCCTCTGGCGAGCCCCTGGCCCTCTCCCCCAGTGTAAGATCCAGGCCACGCGGGCCGCCTGTTTTCCGAACGCGGCCTCGGCAGGCCGAAACCGCTGACAGATTTCAGACTCGACACTTGGTGTCTCTGTAGGTCTGGGCGTGTTTCTACACTCCCGGTGCAATCCCCGCTCCTCCTGTCCATCCCCAATCCGCTCCCCTTCGCACAGGGCGAGGCTGTGCGTTGTGCACGTCACTACCCCTCACAGCCAGTTGTGCCCCCTGAGTTTCTCCTCCGCCCTGCCCCCCCTCGTCGTTGTAGGCGTTCTACCTGTTCGGTGCGCGCTGTGCTCCGACAGCATCCCCCCTCGCTGGCTCCAGACCGCCGACGTCACATGTCACGCTTGTTCCACAGCGTGGGCCCCTGGAGGTCTTCCCCAGGACCTGCCTTTCCTGCCGGGCCGTTTTGTTGACGGTCCGGGGGCCCGGCGATGGCACGTCGGACGCCGAGCGGAGCAAGAAGCCGCCGCTTTGTGATGTGGCACGGCGCGGGGGGATTTGGGCTCCTCCCGCCCCGGGCGGCCTGGCAGGTCCCGTGCTCCCCGCGCTGGGCGGCCGAGGCTGGCCGCTGCCGGGGGGCCCCTGGGCCGCCCTCCCAGGAAAGCCGAAGCCAGCAGTGCGGACAGCTTCGGTCCCCACCCTTTGGGGATTGATGGGCCTGTTTCCCACCACCACCACCATAAGTTGGAGGGGGAAAGCAGGAGGAGGAGGGGGAGGAGGAGGAGGAGGAGGAGGAGGAGGAGGAGGACTCCCTCCGCCTCCAACTTATGGTGGTGGTGGTGGAAAACATGCCCATCAGGGATGGCTCCTTTGGTTGGCCCCTCTGCAGGGGCCTCTGGCTCCATTTGCTTCTCGGCTGCTCCTCGCTCGCTCGTGGACACGTCGTGGGGGCTCCCTGGCCACGGTGTTGACGCCGAGCTACACCGTCTCGAGGCCTCGCCGTTCGGGGGCTCTGCTGCCTTCTTCCTGGCCAGAGCCTTCGACACGCGTGCGCAGCCGCACTGTCAACGCCACGCCCTCCTGTGACATTGCTGCGCCCCTGCTGTGAACGCACACCGCCTGAGGCGGCGGAGAGCTCGAGTGTCTCATCCATCAATCGGGGGTGGACAGAACCCCCACCAGTGACGCGTCGATTAGTGAAGTGTCCGTTTTCGGTTCTCGAGATGGCGCCGTGGCCGTTATTTTCCAGGCTTGCGCCCGCCAGGTTTGGGCCTCAGGTCCTTTTAACTGAACCACGTTTTACTAAAGGGGGGCCTGTCCACCCCCGAATCACATGGCCTTCGAAGACCCCCCCCCCCCGGACAGGCGCCGCGACGCAGGCGATGGGCGGCCCCCAGCCGGCCATGCCCGCCCTCTGCGCGCCGCCGCCCGCAGCTCTGCCCTCGCACGGGGCCGCCGCCCCGCCGCCCCCGCGCGCGCGCGCTCGCGACGGTCTCCTCCTCCTCCTCCTCCTCCTCCTCCTCCTCCTCCTCCTCCTCCTCCTCCTCCTCCTCCTCCTCCTCCCTCCTCCTCCTCCTCCTCCTCCTCCTCCCTCCTCCTCCTCCCCGCAGATACGGTGGGGGCGTTGGTTAAGGGATGTGCCCAGGAGGCGTCAGGCCCTGGGAGATTCCTTATCAGATGAGTGCCGCAGTGCTCTCCTTGGCCGGTGCACCACTGGAGTTCCGCTGGCTTCCAGACCCTGGGTTCCTTATCCCATGGTTCCTTATCCAACGCCCTCACCGTAGGGTCGGCGTGAATGCGGACGGAGGATCGCGCCGCGTCGCCGATGCATCGATGGTGCGGTTCGATGTGGAGCCCGACGGTCTTCACGCCGACGGCGCCGATGCATCGCCGACGTCGTCGATGCATCGTCGCTGCATCGGCGATGCATCGCCGATGCATTGTCGATTTTTGCGCGATCCTCGGGCCTCGTGTGCTTGCATCCCATCCACGAGTCGTCTGCACGAGTGACCAGGTGGGGCCCTCTTGCACCCCTCGGCGAGTCCAGCGCCAGAGCATTTGGGCCCTGGAGCATCTGGGACACACACACACACCAAGCACGCACACGGCCAAACACTGCACGGGGAATGGAGGCCCGAGCGATGGCAGGGGCCGTCGTCACGGGAGTGCCCGAGAAACCTGTAGGACCAAAGGGGAGGAGCGAAGGGGGAGGAGGACAGGGCATGGCGCTGCGCGGACATCTCGTGCGGCCCGAGCGGCGACTTACATGAGTTATAATGCATAACGGCACCCTCAGGTCCAGCGAGAGCGGCCACGGCACTTCAAGGTCCATCGGTTACGAAGGCCCTGCTGTCGGTTCCGCCAACCCTGGAAGATGTCATGCAGGACGGATGACATGAGCGGATGCGCCCACGCTCTCTTGGGCCGTCTTGTCCCAATAGTGGGGGCTTCTTGGGCCGTCTTGAGCCATCTTGGCGCCTTGGGCCGCATTGGGGCGTTCTAGGGCTGCCTTGGGGCTCTCTTGGCAGGCCTGGTGGGCCGCCTTGGCGCGATCCTTGGGGCTTTGTGGACCGTCTTTGGGGATCTTTGGGGCCTCGTGGGCCGTTTTGGCGCGAGCTCGTGGGCTCTTTGGACAGCCTCGAGAGATCGGAAGGCAACAGAACTGAGAACACGAAGCTCATTGAAAAACCATTGGGGGATTCATCATTGCTGCATACCGGTGACTTGGGGGTCTGAACGGGGTGCCTTCGGAGCGCTCCTCAGCTTGAGTTCCTGCGGGATGGTGTGGAGGTTGTCGTGGGCCATCTGGGAGTGATCTTGGATTGCTTGAGGGCCCTCGCGGACCGGCTTGCACGTGAGCCGTCGAAGGAGAGCGACCCGGCGGCCTCCGGGGTGTACTCGGCGGTGGGGGGCCCCGGGCGCGGAGGGGATCAAAGGGGCGGGGCTCTTCCCCGACGCAAGGGCGACGTTGCTCGATCTCCTTCCGACTGTTGTGCATTCCGGGCGACGGGCGCTGCCCCATCGGGTGGACGCGGCCGCCCGCCCAAGTTTCTCTCGCACGCGCCTCGCGCCAAACGCAGGATGGCACCCAGGTCCGCCGATTGCTGGTGGCCCATTCCTTCGGGTGCTCTGTTGTGGGGGGGAATGTTTGCGCTGGGAGACAAACGCGCGAGTGACGGCCGTCGGGGGACGAGTATCGAGCTAGAGGTTTCGAAGTTTTCTGGCGTTTCTCTGGCGTTTCTGTTGGTTCTCGATGGTTATCCACAGTGGGGGTGAGTTTCGTGCAGCTGCGCCTCGCCGCGAGCCGTCTGGGGTTGCCCGGATCGCCCCGAACGGCCGCCGGATACTCGAGCTATGACCCGACGGCCAGGCGACGAGGTCCGGGTCGGACGAAAGGGTCGGGAGCACGTTGGGGGGGGGGCGGCGTGAGCCCAAGGCGGGGTCAGAAGCGAGCCCAGCTGGAGGCTGGTGTTTTCCTCCTCCAGGGGCTGCGCGGGGCGGTGTTTCTGGAACCCGGCCTCCGGGCCCGCCCCCCCAGCGACGTCCCCTCGAAGCCCAGACCCCCGACGTCATGATTTGCTCATAGCGTCGATGCGCGGCTGCCCCGGCTGACGCCAGGGGAAGTCTGGCGGCATGCGGGCGACTTGAGGATCCACCCGCTAATAGCTCTTTGAACCAAGCGGTCCTAGATCCCACGTGCCAGAGCTGTAGAGGGGACAGTTGGCTGGGCCGACAGGCCTCTTGAGTAAGGTCCAACGTCAGGCAGCACAGACACAAGGCGAATCTCCGACGAAGCAGCAGGAAGCGGGAACGAGTCCAGACGAGGGCTGAGCGAGGGGCCTCCTGCCCCAGAAGGTTACTCGACTCGCACTGCTCGAGCGGTGAGAGGGCCTCTGGACGGCCCTTCAGGACGGTGCCCGACCCGGCCCCTGGTGGGCCACGAGGCCCTCGAACTCACAGTGCGAAAGGTCCCACACGGCCACCCAGCCACTTCTGGCCGCTGGGCCTCGAAAGATGGCGCAACGCAGGGCGTGGCCAAACCAGGGCGGAAGGGAGGGAAAGAGGGAAGTACGTATCACGTATTTCGACCCCCCAGCTTCTCAGGCACGTCTAGGTATACACCAACACGAACAAACCTTGCGATGACGTAGGAGGAGCGAGGGAGGGGCTACGAGCCGCGCCTTCCCGGGAGGGCTTCGAGCCCCGTCCTCGGGCGGGCCACCTCGGGCCGTGGCTTTGCAGCTGCCACGCCCAGCTGCACGCCGTCACCTGTCAGACTGCGCAGGCGACGGATTAGGCGTGCTGCCAGCGGCCTGTATGCTGCTGGCGACTTCTCCAGCGCCGCGGCCATCTCCGCGCCCGGAGCCGTCCAGAAGTGCTCACCTCTCTGGATGTCAGCGTCCTGCATCGGCGCACGTCGCTGGATGAGGACATGCGCCCTCGTGTCGCGCTGGAGGGAGCTTGACGCAGTCCAGCGCCCCCGCCTGCCTCGGGATCTCCAGGCGCCCCCCCCCACCGTTCGCCACGAAGTGGGCCGCGCCCGCGTGCCTGATGCCGTGGGGCGGGCCGAAGGCCTCGAGGCCGAGCCTGGCCAGGCTGGCACTCCATGCCCGCCTGTACCTGCCGTGGGCGATCGGGGAGACCAGCTCGTCCCTGTCCAGGCCGCGGGCGAGGCAGTGGATGATGCCCTTGGCCAGCTCGGTCCTCAGCCCGTCTTGACCTTCTCGCCCCCCGTCCTGTCACCCAGCAGCAGCGCCAGCCCCCGCCCGCCGCGTCGCTCGACGCGCCGCAGCGCCTCAGCTCGGCCCAGTCCTGCCCCCGCATCCAGCCGTCCAGCTGCACGGCGACTGCGCGCGCCTCGTGGACCAGGCCCGCACGGCACAAGTCCATGATGATGAGGCCGAGCCCTTGCAACGGGATGGGCTGGCCCTCCTGCCCCTGCTGCTGCCTCGCCCTTGCCTGCAAGGCGCGGTGGGCCAGGGGCAGGAAGTTGCGATGATCCTCGAAGATGTGCATGGAACCGTTGAAAAGCATGCTGCGCTTGGCGTACCCGAGCCCTCTGACGTAGCGCTGGTCCGCCAGGTACGCCGCGAGGGCCTTGTCCCGCTGCTGCACTGTCTCGAAAAGTACGCCTACTCTCTCGATGTCGATGGGAAGCTCCCTGACGTCTCTCATAGGCCGCGACTGTTCTTTCATCCACCGCGCGTAGGGCCAGTCTGTTGCTGAACTCCAGTTTGTCGGAGGCAGCGTTCTGCCACGCCAGAGATCCTCGAGACATGAGCGGAGGAGGTCTGTGCGTCATGCGCACTGCCTCGGAAACCTGCCGCACCACCACAAAGAACACGAGCCACCATGACGATCGTGAGCGTGGTGCGAAGCTCTCGCCGTGAGCGGTGCACGCTGCTTCCCTCGCCGACGCCACCTCGCAGGCCGAGCCAGCCTGCGTGGATGCCTCGGACAGGGCGTGGTGGTTCAACCGCTCGAAGTGGAAATCCCCCCCGAGGTCCCACAGCAGCGCGCAAACCCAGTCGAGGTCGGTCCCCAGAGCGCCCAACGCCGAGTCAATCTGGCCAACGTGCGCCGACGCACCGACCCAGCGCGCCAACAGCTGCGCCGCCGAGAAAACCAGGGTAAGCCACAACCGGCACGAGAAAGCACCAGCTCCGACGCACGTGCACTGTGATGGTAGCCCCCCTGCTCTCCACTGCGACGTGGTCGTCGCCGATGCCCTCGCCGCAAAACGGGTTCGGCAGCCGACCCCGTGCACTGTGATGGTAGTCCCCGCGACTTCCCACTGCGCCGCGATCGTCACCTTGACCGTCCGAGCGTCTTGTGCACCACCCCGAACTCCCGTCAGCATCGCCCTCAGCAATTTCGGGGTATGCCTCCACTTGTGCTCCTCCTTGGTCGCCTCCGCCGCTCCGATGGACAGACCCCGGCTGGGCCCGTCGGCCGCGCCGTCCTCGGACGCGACCCACCTCGGGTAGTCCTTCGCCCCGCGCACGAGCTGCGCCGCTGCCGCTTGCCTCGCCAGGCGAAGTAGGCCGGGTGCCGACGACCTCCCCTTCGTCAGGACTCCCACCGATGCCAGTGAGTCCGAGAATATCAGCGCCCCCTTGCCCCAGAGGGGCCACGATCGTGCGCAGCTCGAGGAGGTCGGCGTGCTCCTCCTGCGCCCACCGCCCCTGGACCAGGAGCGACCACCTCGCCACTTTCGTCCGCGAAGTATCGGCAGGCAGCGCCGGGCCCCTCGCCCGCGCAATCCGCGTGTCCCCATGCCCAGTTCACTTTGTTCTGTGCATGTGCAACTGCGCACTTGCTGTGCAGGTGCGAACTGGCTTGCCAACGTGGCGGCTGTGTTCGCAAATTCGCATCGTGCCGCATCCCGGACGCCGCTTCCGCTCCCTGACCTTTGCCTCGGAGCCGCCGACCAAAAAAGTATCCCCATGCC